ATTACATATAAAACTTTGTCTATACTCTAATAAAAAGTTCCCCAGACCAAAGAGGTCACCTTAATACCAAAAAAAAACAAAAAAAACAAAAAACAAAAACAAAATAGCTAATGGAATTTGATGTAATCGAAAATATAAAATAATCTCTTTAGCATTCTTTAAGATATTATTAGTATACCATGATATTTTCATAATATCTCCTACTAAAAAATTTAGACTATGTGATATACAACCCAAAAAAAAAATTTTAGAATATCTTAATTTTAATAATCACCATGCTTTTTTCATCACAGAAGCATTATCTGTAATTAATACTGAAATTTTTGATGGCCCAACTTCAATAATTACTTTTCAATATTTTCAACAATTGTTTCTCTATTTTGCCAAATATTACTAGTTGTGTGTGCAATAAAAAAGACTGGTTTGAGAGTTGTTAAAATATAGTTGGTCCAGTATTTATTTACTAGATCCGATCATCCATCAGTTATAAGGCACATGTTTACCTTTAATTATTAGAGTTTTAGCACTAAGCTTAGTTTCATCAAATAAATTATCTAGTAATATTTTAGAAAGTTTTTTCCTATTAGGAAGTTTGAATACTGGTTTTGTCTACTGCCACAAATCTCAAATAGGCTCTATTTCTGGTAATAATAAAAAAAGACCACATTTAAATACTGATTTAGCAAATGCTAATTCAAGAGATTCTTGTTCAACTCTTGAAATATAATCACTAGATGTTGAAGTTGGTGTACTTATAGATATATCATTATCACTATCTTCATATTTATTTTTAAAATATTTTCTTTTTTGTATTAATGTTATTTTAAAACATTTTCGAAAATGTATATAGGCTAGTCTAAGTGAATCATTAATCTGGTGTTCACACTTTTTGTATTCTTTTCTTTTTTGCTTGTATCTTACAATATGTCCTAGCTGATTATAATATTTCTATATTTTGTCAAGTAATGGCATTTTTGATATTAAATTTTAGGTAATTTCTATAAAGTATATAGATTAGATCTGAGACAAATGCTACAAAATATCATATAAGACCTTGTATTAAAAGTAAAAAAATATATAAATAATTATTAAATACCTTTAATTTTTTTTTCATACAAAAATTAAAGCAACAAGGCTCTTATAAAGATGAAAGTAGAAAAATACAAAAGATATACAAGTGAGATATTGTATAAATTTAATTACACTACATACTGTAATCGGTTCTTAAAATACCTTCAATCGAATTTTTTTTTTTTTACTACAAAATTCTAATCTTACAAAAGTGAAGAAAGACAAGATTTTTTTTTTATATGAAATTCTAGTTCAAAACCTTACAAAGGTGAAGGAAGACACAAAAGGAGTACAAGTATTTAAGTGTAGATTTATAACATTAAATTTACATATTTAATGTTTATTATATAGCAATTATTGGATCATGATTATTATCACGATTATATATTATTTTATATAGTACAAGTACTTAAATATGCATCATGCACATGCATTATTGTATATAAGCATGGCATGATACTGCGGCTACCCATCTCTAATTATGCTAACCTCCCTAAATACATGTTCTATATTTTGCAAATACATGTTCACTCAAAAGATTTTTTATATTATACTAATCTTTCTAAATACATATAGCTAATCAGAATTCAATATTCAAGTTGTATTATACAAGCCTGCAAATCAAAGATTAAAAGCTACAATTTAATTGGCTTTCTCTATGATTAATTGATAATCCGCCAGTCACCTGAAAAGTGATTATAGTGTAACATGATGCAAATCACTTTGTAAATCACTTATGACAGAAATGCCACGTTCATACAAGGAAAACTATTTTTTGTATTAAGTTAACGAGCTTTATAAATTAATTAAAAGTTGTAGAGCTCATTACGATGAATCTAACAGTGGTTAGATCATTAAAATCAGCCTAGTAAATGCTGAGATATCTTCAAAATACGATTGGCCGACTATGTAAAATTTAATGTAAATGAATAAAATTTTACATAGTTGGCCAATCGTTTTTCATAGATATTTCGGCATTTACTGAGCCGATTTTAATAATCTAACTACCGTTAGATTCGTTCGTTGTAATGAGCTATACAACTTTCGATTAGTTGATAAAACTTATTAACTTAGTACAAAAAATAGTTTTCCTTTATAACATAGATTACTAAAACGGAAATGCCATGTTCATCCAAGGAAAACTATTTTTCGTACTAAGTTAATGAATCTTATCAACTAATTAAAAGTTGTAGAGCTTATTATAACAAATCTAACAGTAGTTAGATCATTAAAATCGGCCTAGTAAATGCCGAGATATCTGTGAAAAACGATTGGCTAACTATGTAAAATTTTATGTTGTTATAAAACGAATTAATTATTAGTTTATTATTTTATTATTTATTTTTTTTTTTATTTTTATTTTTTTTTGGTAACGCATACTGAAGACGGGCCAGGCTTGTCAAGACCAACATTGAGCCACCTGACACCTTTTAATCAGACAATAGGCCGGCTTTCCCAGCAGGACGCCCAACCCAGTTATCT